CAAGTCCTCCTGTTTATCTTTGTGTGGTTTTTCCCTTCCAAAAGAAGGTGTAACCCCCAGCCAGTTCTGCAATAATGCTCTCGTCTGCCAATTTAGGTGCACTGAGCGCTGCAATGTCAATGTCATACCGGGCTAGCTCTTTTGAAAGCGGTTCTTCTTTCAAATCGAGAGGTATCGTCTTTGTCTATCATAGTCCTGATGTTCCAAGCAGCAATCTTTAGTGCTTTTTTCAACCGCGTTGAGGATGATCCACCAGCCGCGGTAAGCTGGCCGGATTTAATTTGGGCTGGCAATGTTTGAGGCACCTTTTCTAGCCCCTGCCCTTACAAAGGGAGGGTAGTGCAATCCTAAAGAGGGCTGCTCTGTCACCTGGGGTGTTGCAGAGCTTCCCTGCTGCCCTTGGATCAGGGATGGGCGACCAATGTCCCAGGCTGCCTGCGTGCAGACTTGTGGCTACGACTGCCAGGAATCATCTGCACCTGTTGTTTTGCCATTCCCCCTTTGCCACAGGACTTTTGAAGAGAGATGTGTATGAATGATGTGTGCGTGAAGTTGATTGAAATGGGCGAGTCGTTGCACTGGGACAATCCCGTTCTCTCGGCTGCTGAAGCTTGGCCCAGTGGCACAAAGGCTGTTACAACTGGAGGCTTCTTTAGCTTCAGTGGCTAGCCATGACTTCTGTAATGCCCCATCATGCCTTTCACCTTCCACAATGCATTGCTGCACTGCTTTTCAAGCCGTTGGACCAAGATATGGTCTCTTCCGCCTTGGCTACCAGATCAGTCTTCGTATGCTTGGCAGGGCAATCCCTAAATCACCGTCAGTTTCCACACTTCCGGTTACCCTCACCGGGTTTAGCCCACCTGCCGAGGCAGTTTACCGGGGTGTGGCCGTTGTCGCATACTTACAGCTACTTGGCGCCACAGGTGAGAGCTGGGTGTACAGTGAGGACCAGAGAGGAAAAGAACCACTCAAGGAGTGCGGCAGTTCGAATCACTCAAAGGTACTTCCTCTCCCATACACCCCATTCTGTTCCTTACTGTAGTTTCTACCAGTTTGTCCGGTACTGAAGTCAGGATCACTGGCCTGTAATTGCTGGGATCCCCCCTGGAGCCCTTTTTAAAAATTGGCATCACATTAGCTATCCTCCAGTCATTTCATAGACTCATAGAATATCAGGATTGGAAGGGACCTCAGGAGGTCATCTAGTCCAACCCCCTGCTCAAAGCAGGACCAATTCCCAATTAAATCATCCCAGCCAGGGCTTTGTCAAGCCGGGCCTTAAAAACCTCCAAGGAAGGAGATTCCACCACCTCCCTAGGTAACGCATTCCAGTGCTTCACCACCCTCCTAGTGAAATAGTGTTTCCTAATATCCAACCTGGACCTCCCCCACTGCAACTTGAGACCATTGCTCCTTGTTCTGTCATCTGCCACCACTGAGAACAGCCGAGCTCCATCCTCTTTGGAACCCCCCTTCAGGTAGTTGAAAGCAGCTATCAAATCCCCCCTCATTCTTCTCTTCTGGAGACTAAACAATCCCAGTTCCCTCAGCCTCTCCTCATAAGTCATGTGCTCCAGTCATTTGGTACAGAAGCTGTACCAGAAGTTCCTTCAGAACTCTTGGGTGAATACCATTTGGTCCTAGTGACTTATTACTGTTTAATGTATCAATTTGTTCCAAAACCTCCTTTAATGACACCTTAATCTGCCTCAATCTGAACTGCAGTGGTGGTTCTTCTGACGGACTGAAAGGTGGAAGTTTGGTGACATAATCTGAACTACCATTTTTGCCACAATATATTGCTTTTGAGGAAAATGTTGAAATAAACACACTCACAAGTGAGAAAGTGAAATATGTGGCCACACTCATTCGTGCGTTTTGTGTGTGGATGAGTCCTTGGGGTTATCTACGCTGGATTATTAGGAGCATTGTCCGTTCGTAAGAAGCATGATCCTGTCTAATATAGATAGGGTTGCCAGGCGTCCGGTTTTTGACCGGAATGCCCAGCACTGCTGACCCGGCTGTTAAAAGTCCGGTTGGTGGCGCAGCAGGGCTAAGGCAGGCTCCCTGGCTCCTTGCGGCTCCCAGAAGCAGCTGCCATGTCTGTCTTTTATGCACAGGGATGGCCAGGAAAGCTCCACGCACTGCCCCTACCCCGAGCGCCGGCTTCGCAGCTCCCATTGGCCGTGAAACTCAGCCAATGGTTGCTGCGGGGGGCGGCACCTGTAGGCACAGGCAGCGCACACCCCACACAGCTGCCTGGTCACCCCTGTGCCTAAGAGCCAGATATGGCAGCCGCTTCCAGGAGCTGTACAGAGCCAGGGCAAGCAGGGAGCCTGCCTTAGCCCTGCTCTGCCGCCAACTGGGAACCGCCTCAGGTAAGTGCTGCCCAGCTGCAGCCTGCACCCCCTACCCCAGGTCAGAACCCCCTCCTGCACCGTAACTCCCTCCCAGAGTTTGCACCCCAACCTCCCGCCCCAGCCCTGAGCCCCTTCCTGGATCCCACACCCCAACCCCCTGCCCTGGCCCTGAGTCCCCTCCAGTGCACAAACTCCCTCCTGAAGCCCTCACCACCTCCCACACCCCAATCCTGTCCCTGAGCCCCCTCCTGCACCCAAACTCCTTCCTGGAGCCAGCACCCCACAACCCCTCCTGCACCCTAACCCCCTCCCCAGCCCTGAGCCCACTCCTGCACTCCGAACCCCTCAGCCCCGGCCCCACCTAGAGCCTGCACCCCCAGTTGGCGCCGTCACCCCCCTCAACCCCCAGCCTGGTGCCCGGAGCCCACCTGCACCCATAACCCCTCATTTCTGGTCCCACCCTGGAGCCCACACCCCCAGCCAGAACCCTCACCCCGTCCCACGCTCCTGCCCCAGCCCAGTGAAAGTGAGTGAGGATGGGGGACAGTGAGCGACGGAGGGAGGGGGGATGGAGTGAGTGGGGGGTGGGGTCTTGGAGAAGGGGTGGAACAAGGGTAGGGCCTCGGGGAAGGAGCAGGGTAGGGGGTGGGGCCAATGGTGTTTTGTGCAAGGGAGAAATTGACTAAGGCCCCAAACCTACACACATTCAGTGGCTCTATTCATATGTGCGTTTGCAGGATCATGCCTGAGTATACATGGGAAATGTTGAAACAGACTGCACAAAAAAATTCTGGCAAATTCACAATGCAAGCAAATTAGAAAATGAGATTTTTTTTTCATTCATTTCTATTACAATAATCCCTCGGCGCTACTTTAAAGAGGCAGAATGTAATTTTCTCCCTTGGAATTAGTCTGAAGCAGAGCACACTGCAGATGGCTGGCTTGCAGCTGAGCTGATCTAGGTTCCAAAAATTGTACGGAGTTGGGGAATGGTGATGCACGTGGATGTAGGGCAGTGGTTTAGGCCAGCTGCCATACAGCTCCCCAAGGGCAGGGGGTATCATACTGGGGTGTCCAGCAGTTTTCTATTGGGGCACAGAGGTTGGTATACTAGAGGGCCATGCAGCTGCCTCTTGGGGCATTGGAGACGTATTGGGATGCTGCAGCCCGCCACTGGGAATGGGTTTGACATACATGCGGGTTGTCCCATTGCAGTAGGGTAAGAGTGTGGCAATCAATAGGGCAGCCCTTTTGTGTAGCACCACTGCAACGCTTTGTGACGTGGGGCAGTTTGTAGGGTGACCTACTGGTGTGATGTCATCACCCTGCTTTCTGTGACATCGGCAGGCAATTTCCCATGACATCATCATTAAGGTGCTTGGTCAGCGGCCAGTGTTTTTTGCCCTGGCAGGTTGCGCCAAGCCTTTCAGGCGGAAGAACGGGGAGTTCAAGACAGGCATTTAAGAAACATTAGTACCAAAGCGCCAGCCCCGAGCAGCTTGCATGCCTACCCCTAAGCAAGATGGCACCACCGGCTTCACAACGCTCCTCTACCATACGCAGAACTGAGCCGCCCCTAATAAAGATGGCGCAGATCCCACGGCTTGCCAGTCGGCGGGCCAGAGACGCTTTACGCATGCGCAGCACTCCAGTTTCGGTCCCAGGGCCGGAGACGCGGCAGCCGAGGCAGTTGCGCCTGCGTGTGACCCGAGAGGCGAGGGGGCGGGGCCTAGTTAGAATTTTGGCGGGTGACCCGGCTGAGGGGAGCGGAGCTGGGCGCGGTAAGTGCGGGGGCTGCCCGGAGCAGGGGGGTCTGGGGCCGTTGGGGGGAGGAGAGATCGCGGGGGTCGGGGATCCGTGGGAGTCCCAGGGGCGGGCGGGGGTCGCCGGAGCGGGGTCCCAGCTGGGGGAGGGGGCGAGAGGGGGAGTCCACTGGGACACGGGGTCTGTGCTGGGGGGAGGGGTCCCAGGTGGGGCAGGATCGGGGGCTCTCATAGGGGGTGGGATCCCCTTGTCATCTCAGGGGGGGTGGGTGGCTGAGGTGGAGTCCCGGGTGGGGAAGGATCGGGGGAGTGAGGGGTAGGAGCGGGCTCCAGGGGGAGAGGAGATCAGGGTTGTGGATCCCTGGGAGCGGGAGGGGGAGTCCAGTGGGGGCAGGTTCTGTGCTGGGGGATGTGGGGTCGGGGTGCGAGGGTGGCCCTGGCAGTACCCAGGGAAGGGAAGATGCTGGGGGAAGAGTCCTGGATAGTTCTGGGAGGTGTCTCTGTCTGAATGCTCATGAGGCCGGTCACTGCTGTGAAGCATCTCACAGGTGAGTCAAAGAGATGTAGAGTCAGTCAGGAATGAAACCAGCTCCTCCCTGACACACAAGCACACTTATTAAGAAGTGGTGACATCCCCCACCCCAGCTACATGGGATGATGATTAAAATGTTATGGCTCCAGCTCCCTTTGCCTTGCTGCGTGTGGCTATGTGCCAGGATGGACCTTAGCATTGTTATTCTGTAGAAACCTAGGAATTGCCATGCTGGCTAGACCCCAGGTCCATGAAGTCCAGTATCCTGTCTTTGACGGTGGTCAGCACCAAGTGCTTCAGAGGAATGTGCAAGAATTTTGCAGTAGCCAGATGTATGGTAATCTGCCTCCCTGAAAGTCTTATCCTATGCCCTAACATAGAGGTTCTCAAACTGTGGTCCGCGGACTACCAGTGGTCCACAAACTCCATTCAGGTGGTCCACATGTGCATCTTCTCCAGGTATGCACCTTAGAGGATAGTTCCCTCTAAGGTGCATACCTGCGCTTCCACGTACAAGAGAATGAAGGGCCACCTACCTAATTAGTGGAGCCAAGCTGGCATGGCTCCACTAATGAGCTGCCTGGACCCTGGAGAGGATGCACATGTAAGGTGAGGTGGTGGCCTTGGGGGAAATAGGAGGTAGGTGGGAGGGGGCAGTTGGGTGAGAAGAGGGGGTGGAGGGAATTTGGGACGTGCAGGGCCAGAGAAAGAGGCGACTTTCCCCAGCTCCAGGGCCGTGGGCTGCCAGGTAGAGAAGGCCCTCCTTGTTGTACTTAAAGTACTGCACAGGATCTTTTTAGGGAGAATAAGACAAAACGCCACATTTATTAGTAATACATGTATTTCTTAACACTGTATCATATGCATATAATATATTACACTTACACTCACACGCACACACACAAACACACTCAGTCTTGTTGTTACCAATTAGTTGCTCCCCTTAACTTCACTGGCCAGGTGAGTTAGATGGGGGAGGGGGTGGAGCTGGGCTTCTGCCGATCCGGATCAATGCTCCCATGTTGACAAGACGAGACCCGGGGTCTTCTGCAAGACACCTCATTTTTATAGCAGCTTTCCTCTTATGCAAATCTATACCAGATTCAAACTCTGTGTCTGTCCATTGGTCCTTTGTGCTGCTTTCTTTTGAGTGTTGTCCCAATGCTGCAAAGA